GTGCCGGTAGTAGTAGTAGTAGTAGTAGTAGTAGTACTAGTAGCAGCAGTAGTAGCAGTAGTAGCGGTAGTAGTAGTAGTAGTAGCAGCAGCAGCAGCAGTATTAGTAGTAGTAGTAGTAGCAGCAGCAGCAGCAGCAGTAGCAGTAGCAGTAGCAGTAGCAGAGTGGCGGTGGTGGTAGTCGCCGTCGTCGAGATCGTCGTGGTAGTCGCGGTCGTGGTGGCGGTAGTGGTAACGGTAATGCTGGTGCTGGCAGTGGTAGCGGGGCAGTAGTGGTAGTTGTCGTGGTAGTGGTAGTAGTAGCAATAGTTGTCGTCGTCGTTGTCGTCGTCGCCGTAGTAGTAGCAGTCGTAGTCGTAGCAGCAGCAGTAGTAGTAGAAGCGGTAGTGGCAGGAGGAGGAGGAGGAGGAGCAAGCCAGCAGGGCATTGGTGCTGCAGGAAATAATAAGAAGGCGACGAGCTTCAGAACAACTTCCCGCATGAGTGGTAGCCGTGTGTGCCGCGATGCACATGTTGAACGATGTTGGTGAGGTCGATATTGCCATGCCGCTGGTGGTGACTAGGATGGCTGTCATGCTGGTGTGGCGATGCTCCCCTGATCCTGGCCACGGCGATGATGATGATAGTGTTGGTGCCGCTGATGATGTTCATCACGATGGCATTCTCAATGTCCTTGCATTTGCAGCTCTTGGCAGTCTTGACATTGTCCTTTTACGCAACTTACAACTTCAACACGGCTGCAAGCTGGCATCATATTGTTACAGGCCGTGGGCACTTCGCCTTGGGAAAGAGCGTGCCGATGCCTTTCGTCACAGGCCTCACGTGCACAGCCAAGGTGATTGACGAGCTGATGCTGCTGTTCGGCATTGCATCCTCCCTGAGCTATTCAGGCTCGGCCAGCCGGACGAAGAACTCCGGTTATGACCGAGTTTCGTAAGTTCTGAGCAGCTCTAAGGCTTTTTGCACCGGACACTGCAGGTCTTTGGTGCATTTCACAGCATCTTTCGGTGGAGAATAGCCACGTGGGGGTGAGGGTGTCGATTGCAGAGCCCATCTCGGTGACTCACTCATTGAACAGCTGTCATCTCATACTCAAGGCATTTAACAGGGACGTGATCACGAAAGCTCTTGTTTCGTTTCTGCCAGAAGGCGTAGGATGGCGTAGGGCGTGTGGAGGGGGAGGGGGTACCAGCAGACTGGTGCTTAACCTTTAGAAAACACGGCTGTTTGCAAACCTCCACAAGCTGCGCATCTGCAAAACAACCCCACATTGGCCCCCGCACTTCTAACAAGACGATCACCTGCAGGTAGAGCTTTCGTCGCCGCGCCCCCCCCCCCTCCCCGCCCATCGCAACAGCCTGTGAATGGTTCCTGCAGGAGACAGACGGCTCGCAGCAGTTTTCTTGAATTGAGGGGCACACGCGAGCAGTCACGCGAGCCCTCGCAAACCTATTCAGGCAAGTGGCCCTTCTTCATGCTCGGTCTGCTGTCCTTTGCCGGGGTGGTGCTGAAGCTCTTCTTCAGCCTCACATCCAAAGCAGAAAAGCTGGGACCGCCGGGCTGCAATGGTTTCAACGCAAGGTTGAATAGCGAGCTTCAGCACTGGCAGCACGGTGTTGTGTATGCAGATGTGGAGATTGCGATTGGTTGCGATTGCAGCTGGCATGTCCGGCGACTGAGTATGACCCTGGATGATTGCATTTACTGTAGCTGAAAATCTTGACATAGACTTGGCATGTGCATGTCTAGACAGAATTACATGTTGCAATACTGACTTCTAGTATCATCTACCGATTCATTTCTCCTGTCAAGGAGGCGAGGCCGAGATGCTCTTCAAGTTTGTCGCCAATCGCACGGCCGCACGGTTGAAACAGGCTCCGATTGCTTTTGGTCGTGTTACATGGGCCTGCTCTAAGCGTGCTCCTGCGAGGCACAGCAGAATAGACAACCAATTACAACTGTTTGCAGTAGCTGGAGCTCGAATTCAGGGGTTGTGCCCCTGTTCCCGACAGAAGAATATACCATGCTACTGTCGGACCAGCACTCGATGTGGTGCAGAGGCAGCGTCGAAGCAAACAAGTCTGAGGCAGAAATTTGGTGCATCTATCCCGTGCTCTTTGCCCTTTGCGAGTGCCTGGAACTCGGTACAGAGCAAGTGGCATGGCTCATTGGGGATATGTGTGCCGAGCTCAGGTACGAAAACGCTGCCGGAAGAGGTTGAGGTTGCAGGCTACGCCATTGCCGACGTGATCGCCAAGTGCGGCATTCCAATGATGGTGCCCTTGACGGATTTGAGACCGGAAGAAACAGCCAGTGTGTCGAGCAGTGATGCTGATATCAAGCCCCCATATTATGGAAAAGACTCGGAGTCTTCTCTCACACACACACACACACATACCATGGAGTATTGCCGCTCGTCAATCAAGAAGATAACTACTCTCTGAACCCAAGCTCCGGTGCACAAAAGCTACGGCCCAAGCTGCACTAAACTCTCGAGTGACCACGGTTGAAGCACAGAGGTCTGGGTGTCCACAGTGACGAACTCCAGGAAGCTGGGACTCGGCCTGATCGATGAGGACCACGTAGCGGCAGCAGAGGATGTGGAGGACCATTCAGAAGCAATGGTTGCAGCCTATGATCCAGAACTGGTGAAGTCTGAAATCGTCTCGGATCCCGTATAGTGAAGTCGGAAATCGTGGCAGATCCCGCGCATTGAGAGGTTCTGAGTTTGAAGCTTGCCGTCGCTGGACTTGAAGCCCGACTTGAAGTCACCATGCTGTAGACCTCTTGTCAATTTCGTACTTTACGAAAAGGTTTCTAGACCTAGTAGCATGAGTGCAGTCGGACAGTCGACGGTATCCAGCTGTGGGACAGCTGGGCAGTGTTTCATCACCGTGTCATCGGAGTCATTGAGTGCTGTGTAGTGGCACATGGCTGCCAAAGCACTAGTGGGTGCAACTCACCCTGAGTCAGACGCCATGTCGGTGTCATAAAGGCCGTCGCATCGCATCCTTCGATGCAGCTCCAAAGAGAGCACCGGTCCCCGGTTCTGTGGGAGAAGCAGGACTCTCCCAACAGACATGCTGACCCTGTCCAAAGAGCTCGTCAGGATTCACACGGAGCATATATTGAGGGAAGTGCCGGAATGATTTCAGCGCAGGTAAAGCATGGCAGTGTCTATCCCAACAGGCTGCACGTGGCTGCGCGCAACTACGCAAGATCAGGGACCACTCCCGGTGGAGTTACCATCCTGATGCAGGTTTCCCCAACGTGTAGTGTATATTAGTATTTTCTCGACATCACGATTTCGTATAAGTGTGGGAAGGAAGTTGACAACGTATTCGCGGCATTTGGCGGCATTGTGGAAACTCCCCGGCTGTAGTTCCCGTGTATTGAAGTCAAGGTGGCACAAGTACCCCTTGACCAGTCGTCTCGCGAATGGTTGCAGTCACCTTTCAAGCGTTTTACGAGGCTGAGTTGTGAACACTCGGCTGCGCGGGCCCGGAGCAGATTCACAAAGCCGCGCCAGGCCCAACGCTGGGAGGACTACAAGAGTCGTGAAACTAGCAGAATGAGCACATTCGATCATTGCCTGGTGCTTGCTTCGGGGCCAAGGGTTTTGAAGCATCATTCAGCCGCACAAGGCGACTGTTCCTCAGGGAACATGGTGCAATGTCGACTAAGCTATATAATGGCCTTGAGCCGACAGCCAGCCCGAGTGCACGAAAAAGACTGGCGGTATCTTGCCCACTGCTTGCGTCAAAGTGATCCAAAGTGCAAAACGAAGCCAGGCTGCTGAAGCTTTCATGAGAATGGTAAAGGTAAAGTCCAAAGCTTTGTCCGTGCAAGCCTGGGATATGCGAAAGGCCCACACTTGGTCACTGCTCCTGGGACTATGAGGTGCGAGTCCGAGAAGTCTGTGTGATCATTAGACTCATGTTCAATCTTGATTATTTTGCGGGATAGTCACGAAGAGCTGTTCTTATGCTGAAGGACCAGGGGAGAAGGGGATCCTAGTGAAGGTAATCGAGCTGCAACTCAGAGCTTGGATAGACTCCCAGAAGATTTGCAGCTGCTCAGGCGCCGTGTCATGGCAACTACGGGCAGGGCACAAAGCGTAGTGGGCTTATTTGAGCTACTCCGTGGGACTTCGGTGAAATTCGGTCGTCTGCGAGATTTAAGAAATGTTGATAGCTGGAAGTGGTTGAAGCGTAGCGTACTGTCCCTCCGCAATGTGTTATCCACCTCGCATGGCATCGCCTAGACTGGACTAGACTGACTAGACATAGATTTCCCACCAGAGTGAAGACTCTCTCGACAAGGACCCATGACGCATCTTCATTCTTCCGGCTGCAAGAGGCTTCTGTGTCATTGCTCATGTACTTGCGGATGTCTTCGGGCTTCCTAGGTCCATGGGTTCATTCTGGACAATCTCTGGATGTAATTCTATATAAGGTCTTAGTTAATTACGCGTCATCGAGCGAATAAGATATGGCCTGTGGAATTTTCTTGCAAACAGCAGCACGGAGAAATACATCACACGCTTCCCGCAGCCTTTGGCATCAAACGCGCGGATATGGTCGAGGGAAGATGTGCTGTAGTAGCAACCACGTGCCAGATTCAGCTGTGTGTATTTTGCTGACCTCTGCTGTTCTGCATATCACCGATGGCGACCGACTCTGCGCAGATCGAGGAAACGGCGGGGCTAGGGTTTCGTCGCGGCGTTTGAGCTGAATGGACCTGCATGAGATGGCAGAACCGACGGAGCTCACACGAGTTTCCTAAACAGGAAACTGAGCACGCTTTACGTTTCGATGCAACAGCAGAGGCAGAGAGAGAGAGAGAGAGAGTATCTGCTTAACCGCGAGGTATGGGGTATTATTGTCACGTCTCCCCAAGACGCTCCTTACACAGGGGTGGGCACCTGACATGTCTCCTAAGCCCCAAAGCGAAGTAAAGTGTAGTACTTTCAAACCTGCCTGCTCCGACGAGTCAACTTATGCCTCGCGTTGCGCGCAGTGGCGGGGGCGTTCCCTCCCCCATACGTATGGCAAGCAAGCAAAAGAGATACCCTGCTGCCCAGTAGCCTTCGTAGATCACCAGCGGTTGAAGCTGAAGTTTTCAGACCTTTGCAAGCACATGTGTGAAAAGCTCTGCACCAGGACTGGGCTGACGAAGTTTTTGCTGCGGCGGGGAAATCAACCACCTGGTCCGTGTCAGAGGCCAGTGCAACAACTTAGGAGAATGTGTATGGGCTCTTCCGTTTCGGCATGCAGGAGGACAAAAAATCAGATGCCCCCTGTATGAAAGGAGCTATTTGGCTAGTGCGGTCGAATCTTTATTCAGGAAAAGGACGAGTGACGCAACCTGCGCTGTGTACTATGATTGGTGGAGCTAGCCTGGCGCCAGGAAGCCGATATAGTATTTTATGAGGAGGTGTAAAGAAGATACTATCGTATTGTCATGACCATCCGACCTTGTTGTGAAGTGCAAGATTTGGGGTCTTGCCTACATGCTAAGTCATCTCTGTGAAGGAACTATCAGGGGAATACTTGGGTTTGTGGTTCAGACTGTGACAAAAGGACAAACAGCTCAAACCGGTAGCCCAGAAACCCCAGAGCTCTCTATCCGTACAGGCCTCACATAGAAAAAACAAACTCAACCGAGCTCGTGAGTTGATGGTCAGGGAGTCAGGGATTCTGACGGCATGGTTTCAGAGATTCGAGTCAACAGCGTTTGATGTCTGATTTTGGGAAGACGCAAGAAGCGGTGTGCCCCTGCTGTAGACAGGTCACAGCAGTGACCGTGCAAGGTTGAGCCGTCAGCCTGTGTCAGCATCAAAATCATGGTTTCATGCTGGCAAAGTGTGCTGGCTCGGCGCCAGCCACACAGATGTAGCTTGTGAGACCAAGTCCAGGATGTAGGGATAGACCCTGTGTGCTTCTCCGTAATATGTTAACATGCAGCGGCTGTGGAATGCCGGGACTGATGCATAGTTTCAGATGTAGAGCAAGAAGCGACGCGTGTGAAAGACCCAAACAGACTACAGAAAGAGTTGAGAAGCTCGTCGGAACCCTGAAAAGCTCAGGATAAACGCGCAATGTTAGTTTAAGCATGTGTTGAGAAGCCATTCATGGGTGTATCAGCACGTCGCAGCCAGAAATCGTTTCTCATCGGCCTCCAACCACCTCGCTCGATTGTATTCTATCGAGCCTTCCCGTGGTAGGTCCGTTGTCCGGAGGAGGGCTGCCCACCTGTGGAGACTGTGCTACTTGCCAGAGATAGCAGCTGGATGCTCGTGGATCGGCATCTTTCAGGGAGCCGTCGCAATCTAGGTTGCAAAGCCAGGATATTGCAAACTGAGAGCCTGCCAACTCGCCAGCTTTTCTTGTGGACTCCGACATGTATTCGCATCCAAGAAACTACCAAAACTGCTTACAGGAGAAGATGGGAGCAGAGTCACGAATCTGCCCCGAATCAACTCTTCGGCCGCACTCCCAGGCTGACAGATCTCGGCGTCAAAGCACCGAAGCCGGGGAATGGCCTCCTAGCTGCTTTTATTTTTCGCTTTGTATGGGCAGTCGAACGGATTCCGGCAGTCCACGCTGTCTCATCCGTTCATCGGCCAGAAGGTGTGTACAAGGTCTTCAAACCCATTGCTGACGTCCAGAAGGAAGACATTCAGCAGGCCAGATGATAAAGCCTTTTGCTTTGCCAGTCAAGTTCCGGCTCAGCGCAACCACGCAGGCACTCATGCCCAGCCAAAGCCATGGTCATGGAGACGATTCACATGGTGCCCACGCTGGGCATGGTGGGGACAGCCACTGCTGCGATGGCCACGATGGCCATGATGCGCATAAGGGACATGATGGCCATGATGCGCATAAGGGGGGACATGATGGCCATGATGCGCATAAGGGACATGAGGGCCACGGAGGCCACGAGGGGCATTCATGCCATGAGGACCACGGCCACGGTCATGGCCACGAGGATTCCGGGCATGCAGCGCATGGTGCCGCACATGGTCATGGAAGTCACGAGTGATTTGTTCGAGGTGTACAGGCTGCCCCTATTACAGCAAGAGGGGTTTGGAGTTATGGAAGTTTTCTTCACACGAGTTCCGCCGTGAATTTGCAGACTCTTTTTGTCTAGAGCTCCACGCTGCTTGCAACAAGGCGGCGAGGGGAGTGGTTCCGAATATCTGCAGTGCGAAGTCACGGCTTTCTTCGAGCGCTTGTTTGACGTGAGCGCTGGGCATCAATCGACGTCAGAATCAAGCCGTAAAGACATCGGCACAAGCACTCCGTATCACTCTGTCAACTCCCTGCTGCAGGCGGCACATTGACTTCGGCGCCCACGAGGCAACACTGGGAACCTTGAGGATTCAGAATCGTTCGGAAGAATACCTCGAAGCTCTTACGCCGATTTGACCCAGTCGGTGGTCCAAACCGTCTGAGATGTCTTTTCAAGCGGCAATATGGGGAAAGCGCGCTCCTTACTGTGTGTGGCTTGTCGAGCCCCCACCCCAAAGCCTGGGCTACTGCACAGGTGGGTCGCAGTTTGTTTGTATAGAAACGTCTGAATGCTGCTAGTAGCCCATTAGCCGAAGAGCATGTCGGTACATCTACGAGATGAACTCCTTCGTATTGACTCTGCAGCTGTACTGGCTCTTTGTCGAGCCTTGGGTCTGCTGTTTCTTTACGCCCAGGCGCCTCTTGCCAGTCATGTGCAGCTAGAGCTCTTGAAAGTTTCGGCACGCGCTTTCTGGAGGTTGCTGCAGATGGCTCGGTTGCCACTCTGCTTGGGGATCCTCTTGGCAGGATGGCAGCTCCAAGGTCCAAGGTTCTTAGCTTTCGTGCCTCCTAGCAGATTCCTGCACTTGCAGGTGTCATCTCCTGCGACTGCTCTTGGGCCAACAACGGCGAGAATTGCGGCTACCCGGCCGAGCATGTAGTCCAGCTGGAGTCCTAGGTGCATGGTGTGTGGTGTTTCGTTATCAGCAGGTAACAGGGACGAAACCGCGTGCTGGGCCGTATGCTGCCCGAACTCCTGCAACGCCGGCGGGTGGGCCGCACCTCGGCTTGATCCTGACGGCCAAGCAATATCCAACCAATTCGTTTGTTGAGGAAACATGCTCCCTAGTGCAATAGAATTAGAAAGCCGTGAAAGCCGAAGCGACACACCAAAGGTTTCATCAGGAGATGCCGTACATTGAGCGACGACGAAACCATTGTACCTAACTTTCGGAATTGCCATTTATGATCCTTGACGTGCCAAGCATTCGGGTGTCTGCTGTGGCTGTTCCCACAGAAAAGAGCAACGCCCACAGTAACAAAGAAGTCGAAGTAAATCTGAAGTGTAAAGCCTTCGAGCAAACAGCACTTGACGATGACCCACTGCGTATCCGAAAATCGCCGAGGTGGCCTACTCTGCCCAGCGCTGCCACCTGTCAAACGGGGTGCGCAGGACCGTGTAGAAGAGCCGGGTCATGCAACAAAGGGAGAGTGCAACTTAGCAACAGCGATTCTATTCTGCGCCCGTGCACATGCGCAGTCAGGTCGTCCTGCTCCTTCGGGCTTTGTTAGTGTTTCCGGAGCCAGCATTGTGTTTTGAGATGAAGGCACCAAAAACCAAAGGCTGTCCAGGGCGCAGTTTTCCCGCACAGCACGGCGAGTCGACGACAACTCAGCTCTAAACTGACATTCCAGAACAGGCTTTGTCTTCAGAAAAGTATGAGGGCAGGAGACAGCGAGATACAGGGAGGTCACATGAACTTGCAAGGACGCCAGGCTTGTTTACGAGGGAGACGCAGAACAGCTGATTTAATCGATGTTTTCTGTTCACCATCACGTGCAGTTCTTGTTCAGGATTTCATGCGATGGCCCGTCCATGCACCAGTGTGGCAACTCGTGCGATTTAGCATGCTGCACCTCAAGATGACACTTGCATTCCAAGGGAAACTTGAACTTTTCGCAGTTCTGGCAGCAGGGTTTTGAAAGAAAGTTGTCGCGAACCCAACAGGCACTCGCTTGAGTGCGCTGCACAACTTCGTCGGCAGAGGCTACCATTCCGTCCGGATCAAGGCCTGTTGCGCTCGCTGGGTGTTTAATGTCCCGATCCCGTTTCACACACATGCGTATGCCCGTGCATGCGGCTATTATACATTTGCCACTTGTTGTTGCACTTGCATGTGTGTGTGTGTGTGGGTGTGCGTGGGTG